TTTCCCTGTTCCTAAAATACTGAAAGATTCAAAGGAATCTTAGATAAGTGCGTAGTTGTTCTTTTCTAGATCCTCAATGATGTGTATGGATGCATGTGCTTACAAAGGTAAACTGGGTCTTGGAACAGGCTTACTGATAGTTTATTAAACATCTTTCCAACATAGTGAACATTAAAAATTTTGTTTTTCAAGGTTTATGCATTGAAAGCATATCTTTATCATAATAGATACTGTGATCTAAAGAGCAGTTATGTTTTAGAATATTTATCTATTGTTCTAGTCTTTTGTGAAAGTGTTGTTTGGGGAATGTAGATGAGTTTCCTGTAGTATCTCTTCATCACCACCACCATTACCCTGTCCAGACCTTGCTAGGGTATATTGTTAGAGATTTACTTCTTGCCTGCTCAAACTTCTCTGACACTCTGAGGGCAAGGTCAGACACTCTTAACTTTCTTTTTCAGAGTTTTACTACTTGCTCTTGGGAAATTAGGGTGTAAAGAGGTAAGATACGAGGGAGAGAGCAAAGAACACCTCTTAATGAAGTTTAAAATTATTTTAACATCACCTACATTTTACTTGCATGACTTTCGTAGGTTAAGATTTCTGATGAAGTCTAACATTAATTTCAGGATCTCCAGAAGTCTGCTGAGAAAGATCAAAATGAAGCACACCACCTCCATGAAAACATTCTTCCCAATCTGCCTAAACCAACTCAGATCTGGTATGTGGTACACAAGTGTGGAGATGTCAGGCTGCTCCTGGCAGTGTCCAACTGCAGCACTGTACAACTCTACTCCTTTTACTATATATTGACTATGAACTTTTGAGAGCCAAGGTTGTTATGTGTATTGATTCTGGAGTTTGACCTTGACTCTTCACTATGAGGGTCATGCTAGGACCCTAAAAAAATCCCTTGGGTAAAATCTGTAAAACACCCAGCTGTTCAGATGGAAGTTTCCAGAAACAGGTGTGACATTATAGTAGTAAGCTAGTTCTATAAATCTGAGCATCCCTTGCTTTAGAATTGCAAACACACTGATTTGATACCTGCAGTGCCTAAGGATTGAAGGGTGGGTTAGTGACCCAAATGCTGGGTTACTAGAACTAAAGTTCAACACTGCCCTTGCAAATAGAATTTTTCAAAAAAAGTGCTCTCAATCATCTTTCTGTGGGGCTTTGAATTACATTTGTGATATTTTTTTATTCTCCTTTCCCTGCAGCAGCCTGGCATTTATTTCAGCTAACAATGACATCCACCTGCCTTCAAGAGGGCTGTACTAAGAAGCTGTTCAGAATAAAGTAACTCAAGTGAGAGAATGAGACACAAGTATGTGAAACAATAACTATTATTCAGAAGGCTTCTAAGACATTATAACTAAGTTTATCAGAGTGGTCAGTTTTCTCTGTCCTGTTGGAATTGCTTTTTTATTTTTGAGTGATATTGATGTATACCAGATGGAGGTCTCTTCTAGAGTTGAACATCTGAAGATTCCAGAACTTGTTTCCAGTTTTGTAGCTTGTCAGAAGGCAATTCACCAGTCTATTTGAATTTATTGCTTCCAATATGTGCCCTGAATCTACCAATAATCTATCTTGGTCTTGCTCCTAATGCCAGACAAGCCTCAGACTGAAAACATTACAGGTAAATTCCAGCAAAGTAAAAGGTTAAGGATATGGAAATAGGGTTCCAGAAGAGAAAAATGAACTGTACTTTTAGGCAGCGTGTAACAATATTCTCATTGGTGTAGGTACTGCTTGTACTGAAACTTGGACTAGTCTTATCTGATAAAGAGTTGACTTGTGCAGAAACTTTTTTCTGAAAGTGACCCTTTAGACAAACCCTCAGTTTAGGAAGCAGCCTCCCAAAATGTGTCTAGACATGTCTTGTTCCTTTTCAATTTCCTTTTCATTTTAAATGTTGATTTTTTGTGTGTAAGAATGGAAGTTCTTCAGAAATTGTCACTAGGATTCTGCCTTCCTTTCATAACTTACTTTCTTAATTTAGGAAAACCCTTTGTCTTAAGTTTACATGAATTCCTGGACATTGTTTATATGCAAATGAGGCTTGTTTAGTGATTGTGTCACCTCTGATATCAAAAAGATTCTTTGGTATGTTGGTTTCCCTTTGAATCTTCTTTTGATCAAGAGGTTAATTGTGATATGACTAGCTGGTCCTTCCCTTTCTAGACAGAACCATATATGTAAAACTAAGCAAGTTTTTCTAATAATTTACTACAGATTGTGCTCTGCCAGTTCACAACTGCTGTTTTCTCAGTGTCAGTTTGTGTTATTGGTTTTTCCAGAGGAATGATACATTATATATCAATGTCATTTCTCCAAGCACCCATTCTCCTTTGTCCCCATCTTGTCACTTCTTGGTATTCACTGTGTTGTGCAGTGGAGGATCAAGCAAGTGCAAGACAGACTGCAGTTGGTCAGAATCCATCTCTATGACTGTAAAAAGATTTTCAGTCCTCTTCCCCAAACGTTCCTCTGTTTACCTTCTCCATTTCTGTTCCTCTATGTCCCCAAATGCTTGGGGAGCTGAGTACTAATTGGCTGTTGAATGAATATTATAAGTAATGCAGAAAGTAGAGTGAGCACTTGAACGCTGGTGAGATAGGTCTTCAAATCTTGGAGAGAATGAAAACACCCACGCAGATGAATTGAACAATTCATGGCTTTAGCTATTGTTTCTTTCCTGAGTTTTTGGGTTTGATGCTCTTATTTGCCAGAGGAATCTCACTGAAATAAAAAGCAAGTTCAATGTATCTTAAGCCCTTTGTATCCCAGGTGTTTATTGCAAGCAGTTTCTCACTAAACTAAAGCCAGATTTTGAAAACAAGCATCAGTTCTTTTTTTCATGGTTCACATCAGCAGTGAACTGTGTATGTACTACCTCACTGCAGCAATAGGCAAGGTAGTGGGTGGGAACTCAAAGCAGAAGTACCTGCAGATGGGGGAATCATCTAGAAAAGACATAAGGTTTGTTGCAACAAGGAAGATGGCAGGAGACTGGAGTGTATGGGAGGAATGAAGTTTTAAGATGTGAGCTCACTTCCCTTGGTCCTTGTGTTTATCTTTTTATTCCAAACCCACCAGCAAAAATCCCCTCCTTCCCTTTCCCTCCTTGCTGACATTCCCTGATGCTAGTGCTAGCTCCAGGATGCCAGGATTAGTTTTGTGCAGGGCCTCACCTTGTTTTGTGCCGACGGAAAGGAATGCACCCAGACAGCAATTCAGTAGGAAAAGCACACATGGCCACTTTATTTACATTAAGCTTAGATTTATATTCTTTTTCGCTGTCCACGCGCAAGCATATTATATTTCATTGGTCAGGTACTTCTGTTCACGCGCCTAAACTCGTCTTTTGATAGGTGGTCGACAGTTCTTCCTGTGCTGGCAAATCTCAAAAACAGCACCTGTTATTTACAGCAGTTTTGCTCCTTTTCTACTTTCCCATCCTAGATTGTTTACATTCTTTACAACTTCAGAGTTGCAACTGCTCAAATTCAAGGCCTGCCATCCAGTCATTTCCCACAGTTTTGCAGGTGTTTACATTATTAATTTAACTGTTGGTGTCCTGGATTTCAGAAAGGCTCTGCATTGTGGCATGCCTCGGAGCAGAACCTCTCCTCTCCCTGTGTCACACACCAAACAGTTTGGGAGTCGAGCAGGTGGCATTCGCTGTCCTCTGGCACTCACTGTCCTCTGTGAGGCAGTTGTCTTCCCTGGGAATGGGACACTGGGTTTGGGGTTGTTACATTAAGTGACACATCAAATCCCAACCCTGGGGTCAACAGAGGGGGCCCAGCTCTGCCATTCGCTGACTGTAGGGCTCCATGTCAAACAACTGTTGAGGAATACATTTAGTGCAGGTAGCTCGATGTGCAGCTACAGCACAAGGTACAGGTTGTGCTCTGGGTGGTGGGAAATGACTGGAGCCCCAGGCAGTGAGATGTGAACTGACACTGACCCTTTGCACAACAAAGGGCAGGGGTGTTGTCGGAACAGAGAGATTTCTCTGAACAATTTTTCCCGCACTCTGTAGGCCTTGCTTGCCATGGAAGTGACAAGCGTGTGTTGTTTATACTTATAGACTGTGTGAAAATATGTGATGTTTATACTTGTTAGCTGTGTGTCTAATTATAAGGTTTGAGAACATAATATGTTTATAGTAAGAAAACCTTGAGAACCTAGAGATAAAGGTACACCTGCAGATTTCGGAAAGTCCCTAATTAGGAAGGTCTTTACATGCCAAATATGATTTCAGATCGCGTGGACAGAACATCAGGTCCAATAAACTGGAGACATGAGACACGTGCACAGACTGAGCTATCCAATCACCTTGTTGTAAGCATGTGCCCCAAACAAACTAAACTGTATAAAAGTTAACTGATTTAAATAATAAAGTGGACATTGCTTTGATCATATTGATCGTGTTGCTATGTCTCTGAACCTCCACATTGATATCTGGTGCCCGTAACACAGGGACTTCTACTTCGTCGAGTTCTGCTGGACATAAGGCGAAGAGGAGTTGAGAGAAGTAGCCGTTTACAGGTAGCGTGTCCCCCGGCGCTACGAAAAAAAGCCATGCGCATGGTGAAAAAGAAATCTTACCCTGATCAGGTGAGTCGGCTGAAGAAAGGAGAACAGGGTCTGCTCTTTCAAAAGAAGAGGCAGTGCAAACGCTCCTTTATTTAATTCTCTCTGAGAGAGATTCTAATTATGACGAAAAAGCCCTTAAAGGGTTACTAATCCCCACAGTTAAAGTTGCCTTTGAGGTATCCATTTGGGACGCTATAAAGGAACAGTTAGGGGAAAAAATCACAAAAAGATATGATGAAGCAGTTCGCTATTTTACATTGTGGTAGCTGCTGACTGAAACAGAGCAATTTCTAAGGACTGAGAGGCAAGTTACAGCTTTAGCCTATGCTGCGTTAGCAAGCAGTGAAACTGAAAGCAAAGAGAGCAAGTAATTTTATCAGTTTTTATTCATTATGTCAACGACCGTGCTGCCGGCGAGTTTCAAAGTGCAGGCTTCTGCCCGACCGTCAGCCAGCGACCCCAGCAGCAGTTCATCCTTAGCCCCGGAGAATTCCAAAGTGCAGGACGTTAGGGAGGCCACTGCCAGCTGCGCCTTCCCTCGCGGCGAGCTCTCAACCACCCCGCCCGCCGCCGCTTTTCCCGCCGCTGCTTCTAAAGTTGCTGCCGCGCCGCCGCCTAAAGCCGTGCCCGGCGCCGTCCTGCTGCTGCGTGGAGCCGCTCCCCCCGCTGCTCCCCCCCCCGCGCCGAGCCCCGGCCGAGAGTCCCGAACTGACGGAGCCCCTCCGGCTCCACCTTGGCCAGGAGCCGCTTGCCCATCCGCGAACGCGACCGCTGCTGCCGCGAACCCCGCGCCGCGCCCTGCCAGTCCTGCCGCCACTGCCACTGTGTCGCCCGTGCCGGCTGCCTACCGCGACCCCGCCTCCGCCATAGCCCGCGCTGACCGACCACCGTCGCACCCTGATCGACATCATCACCGCGCGACACCGACCCCGAGCCGCCGAGAGCCGCCATCGCCCCCCCCCGCCGAACCCAACAAGAGACATTCTCGGTAAGAAGAAACGGGGGGGGGGGGGGGGAAGGAACCACGAACCAACCCACTCCCGTGCCGCCCTGTCTACCGCTGCCGCCGTCTACCCCCCCGTTCCCGGGTTCGACATCGAGAACAGACAGAGAGACTCAAAGAGCCGAGTGCAGCTGCAAGAAAAGTTTTGCAGACATCTGTGGTGATTCAAAGAAACCTCTGAATAATCTGAAAAGCACTTTTATTACGGCCGGGGAATGCAAAGGGGCAGGTGTTCTCCCCAGTGCACTCCACCGATCCAAGAAATACCATAGCTTTTTATACAGTTCGAAAGTAGCAAGTTCAAAGTTATCTACACACACACTCTTTTGCAGTCTGCCTTATCTAAATAGACATTTAGTTTTACCTCCTATTCTTACCATTATAGAGTAGTTACATAAAGTTTTATCATTTCGAGCAGTTTCAGGTTCCCCACCCCTCTCTATGTGCTAAAAGCCTTCCCTATTCTCTAAACTATTGTTATCTTAATTGCCCACAGTTTGGGCAGAAACTTTTAAACAGTTTTACATTTTGCAAAGTCACACTTACATCGCTAAATAGCTAAATTTTATTTCATTTTCTATTTCAATTCCCCCCTTTTCTTTTAACTAATGCAAATTCTTTTGCATCACTTTTTGTATAGTCCAGAGCACGTGTACTTGTTGTGCTATAGTTCTTATTTTCCACCACATCCATAGATTGACGATTATAAGGAGGAGAGTTGCTAGCATTAAAACCAAGATTGGGTGAATCCGGAAGTTAAATAGCTGAGCTGCCATGGGTGAATGTCTATTGGTTAATCTCAAAAACATGCTCTACCAATGATGTTCTCCAGTCTTTGTCACTTCTGTGATGATGGTTTTTATCTCTGTTGTGTCGTGTTTCACTTGCCACAGCATGCGACGCTAAGTAGCATTTACCTTTTCCATCATTTGTTCAATATCTGGATGATAGAGCATTTTCTGGAGGATATTAATGTCCATGTTTATTTGTAGTTTAGGCACCTCATGATATAACATATATCCATCCAAGATCAATTGCATGGTGGTCACAGGAGCAGTGTATCTAAAGTCATATCCTATTATTTTAGTAAAATTGCAAACACAGAAGTTAGTACCATTAGTTAACTTTTTACAATTATCAATCGTTATACTTGTGCAAGGTGTCCTGATGCAGGCACATCCCTTACCCACATAATACACTTGGGACTGTGCCTGTGTATTTGGGAACATTTCAAATGTACACACACTGTCTTCTGTATCTAAACATAAATCCTCCTTTTCTATTACAACATTTTCACACACATATCCTAGTTGTTCCCTAGGTATACAGGCCTTTGTGTTGACAGTTTGCCACCTCCCCATGCCCTTGTCATAACTTGCCCAGACATTATGTCCTATAGGTCTAACTACAATGTCCCGGTGTATTGCTCCTAATGCTAAGACAGGAAATATGGTCTGCTCTTTTGCCTCACGGATGGTAAGAACATACGCCTCTATCTGTTCCTGCTCTGTGTTATATGTGAAGTTCACTAACTGCCACCATGCCTGATGTTCTTTTTCAAATTTACTTGTGGTGTCTTGTCTGGATATGATCTCTCTTATTTCTTGAGGTAAAATTCCTGAGGTTCCTTCTCTTATAATTCTTGCTGATACAGATTGTATCCATTGCTGAGTTTGGATACACTGTATTGCTACTGAAACATCTTTCTGTAATTTTTCAAAGACATTCGTAAGTCTTTAGATGTGTGTTCAGTTAACAAGATCATCAAATTTGTAGTAAGAGATTCTGTTTCAGCTATAGTCATTAATGATGATCTGAGTGGTACCTCCAGCTTTCCCAAATCAGAGGTTACAGTGCTGAGCTTATTAATTAACATTTCTTGATCTATTGAATTTAATACTCTTAGTCCTGATTCAGACCATCCTATTAGATCTCTCTGGGCTCTTTCATGATGGGATCTAGTTTTTAACCAAGCATTCCATCCTTTAAGACTTTGGAGAATGAAGGGTTGGCAGTCCTCTTTTATAGAGGATATATTTGTTTGTTTTCTAATGGTTGGTCTGAAAAAGTTTTAACCAGGTTGTGCTGGTTTAAAAGTTAACCAGCAGGGGAAACCAACCCAACTCAAAAGAGAGATTACAAATCAGAATAACAATTTAATAAAATAATAAAATAAGTACGACCACACGGACAAGCAACCGGCCCTAACCCACAAAGCCCAAATGTACAACCCAGCACCCCAACCCACAAAGCCCAAATGTACAACCCAGCACCCCAGGGCACAAACAAAACGGTGCTCCCTGGGCCCCCCTGAGTCCAAAGCAAAGGGAGAGGGGAAAAAACCTGGTGGGAGAGCTGCTGCAGTCCGGCCAAAGTGGTGATTGCAGTTCAGTTGAGGGTGGTGGTCTCAGTCCGGCTGAGAGCGGTGAGCTGCAGTCTGGCTGAGAGTGGTGAGCTGCAGTCCTCCTCTGGATCCCACGAGTGGTGGAAAGGTTCTGAAACACCAGGTTTATATATTCTCCAGCTCAGGCAGCAATGCTTAACCCCTCCCTCAGAGCGGGGAATTCCATAAAAGGATACTCAATCCTTCCCTCAGAGTGGGGAATTCCATAGAAGGGTGTGAGGGTGCTCAGTCAGGGAATTCCACAAAAGGGCATGAGGACAGGAGCATGGGGGGGGGGGGCACCTCACAGGCCTCTACTGACAACAGTTTCTGGGAAATGGCATGGAGGGCTATAGAATACACAGTTTTGGGCTACACCCATCCAATGATGAATTGGTCCCAGCTGTTCTAACTAGGACACAGGTATTCTCGTATATATCCTTCTCCAACTTGTATGAGATCTTCTCCTTGATAATAATTCTCATAGGGTCTTCCATATAACATTTCAAAAGGGCTCAACCCTTCTTTAGTCTGAGGTTTGACCCTTATTCGCAATAAGGCCAGAGGTAAAGCTTGGTACCAATGTAGGTTTACTTCTTGACAGATTTTTGCCAAATTGCTGTTTTATCAAATGATTCATTTTCTCCACCTGACCACTTGCCTGTGGTCGATATGGAGTGTGTAATTGCCAATTGATTTGCAGAATACTGCTAATTCTTTGTATTATGCTAGCTACAAAATGTGGTCCTCTGTCCGAGGAGATGATGTCAGGTACTCCAAACCTGGGGATAATGTCATTAAGTAGTACTTTGACAACTTCTCCAACCTTATTGCTTTGGGTCGGGAAAGCCTCTGGCCAATTTAAGAAAGTATCTGTCAAAACCAACAGATATCTGTAACCTCCTTTCCTAGGCAACTCAGAGAAATCTATCTGCCAGTGTTGCCCTGGGAGATTACCTTTGCTAATTGTCCCTATCTCGATTTTATTGGTTGTGTGAGGATTATTTTGAAGGTAAGTCTTGCATTGTTTAGTAACCTGGATTATTGTAGTGTATAAATTTCATCCTATAATTTGTCTCCTTAGGTATTTGTGTAGTGCATCTGCCCCCCAATGAGTTTTGTTATGTTCTGCCTGTACAACTTTCCATAGTACCCTTTCAGGTACCACTATTTGTCCTGTTTCTAAGTAGTACATGTTACCTTTGCGTTGAGCTCGCTGATCTTTTATTAATTTTAAGTCCTCCTTTGAATATGATACATTAGGGCTTACCTCTATGATTTTGCCATCAGGAATTAGGGAGGCAAGTTCTACCTGACCGTTTTCTGCTGCCTTTTTCGCCTCTCGATCTGCCAATCGATTACCTTTTTCTTGGTCTGTATTCCCTTTTTGATGTCCTCTACAGTGCATAATAGCAAGCTTTTTTGGTAACTGGACAGCTTCAAGTAATTTTAAGATTTCTTCTGCGTGCTTTATCTGTTTTCCTTGTGATGTGAGTAGCCCTCTTTCTTTCCACACTGCTCCATGAGCATGAACTACCCCGAAGGCATACTTTGAGTCCTTCCAAATATTAATGTCTTTTCCTTTTCCTTGTTGCAATGCTCTGGTAAGGGCTATTATTTCTGCTTTTTGTGCAGAGGTGCCAACAGGGAGTGCTTGTGCTTCAATGATGTGATCCGTGGTTGTTATCGCATAACCAGCTTTGCGGATTCCATCTTTCATATAGCTGCTTCCATCGGTGAACCACATTTCTGCCTCAGGTAGTGGTGTATCTTTCAAGTCCGGTCGGCAGGAATATGTCGCTTCAATTGTTTCAATACAATCATGATACACCGGTTCCTCTGTGGTTGTTGAACTTGATAAGAATGTTGCTGGATTTAGTGACGATTTCAACATCATCTTGTTCTACTAGAGTGCCCTGGCATTTGAGAAACCTGGAGGGCGAAAGCCAGTGAGTGCCTTTCTGTTCGAGCACTGCTGAAACCACGTGTGGCACTAGAACAGTCATTCTCTGTCCCATTGTGAACTTTCGGGCTTCTTGTATGTTCAGTACTACTGCAACTATGGCCCTCAGACATCCTGGCCATCCTTTGCTCACTTCATCTAACTGTTTAGAGAAGTATGCCACTGCTTGGCGATATTGTCCGACCTGCTGGGCCAGGACCCCCAGTGTGATTCCCTGCCTTTCATGCAAAAAGAGCAAAAAAGGTTTAGTTACATCTGGGAGGCCCAGTGCAGGTGCCTACATCAGTTCCTTCTTAAGCCGATGGAAGGCTTGCTTAGCTTCTCCAGTCCATGTTAATTGTTGATCTCCATCTTGTAGAGTCTGGTATAGAGGTTTGACTATTAGTCCATATTTGTAGATCCAAAGCCTACACCAGCCAGTCATTCCCAAAAATGTGCAAAGTTCTTTCGGAATCTGGGGCAAAGGTATTTTACAGATGGCTTCTTTTCTTTCTGGCCCAAGTCGACGTTGTCCTCCTGAGATTTCATATCCTAGATAAGTAACTTCTTTCTTGACAATCTGGGCTTTGTTTTTAGATACTTTATATCCTTTCAACCCCAGAAAGTTTAATAAGCTCACAGTCCAACTTTCACATTCCTCCTG